CTGATGCTAAGTGTTTGTAGCTTTTAGACTTCTTTTTTTTCAATAAAGGGAACTCAGTTTGTATTAAGATTTTGGCGAACTCTTTTGAAGATCCTAAAAGTGGATATAAAATTATCTTTGGCATTCCATCCTAAAACTAATGGACAAATAGAGCATGTTAATTAAGTTTTGGAGCAGTATTTAAGATGTACCATCAACTACCAACAAGATGATTAGAGAACTCTTTTGTCATTGGCAAAGTTTGTTTATAATAACATAGTATATTTTTTTACAAAACAAACACTTTTTTTGCTAATTATGATTATCATCCATGACTTGATACTTTTGACTTTTCAGAAGTTGATAACCTTATGGCAGAAGATTTTGCAAATTATTTGTCAGAGCTACATGCAACAATGAAGGCACACTTAAAAGAAGCTCAAGAATAACAAAAGATCAATGTAGATGTCTATCGAAAGGAACAATTACCATTCCACGTGGGTGACAAGATATGGTTACATTGTCATAATATCAAGACTACTCATCCTTGTGACAAGTTGGACTATTGTAGGCTTGGACAATTTCTTATTTCTGCACAAATCAATCTAGTTGCATATCGTTTATACCTACCAAAGTCAATGAAAATCCATCTAATATTCTACATATCTCTTCTTGAACTATACAAGATAGTGGACATAGCAAGAAAAAGATAAGTGCCACCTTCTCCTATAGAAGTCGACAATAATGAAGAATTTGAAGTGGAAGAAGTCTTAGACTCAAGGTGACACCAAAATAAGTTAGAATATCTTGTTCATTAGCATAGATACAATATTAATGAATACACATGGGAGCCATCAAAGAATCTTGTAAATGCAGCAAAAAAGGTGGAGGCTTTTTATTGACAACATCCATCAAAATCAAAGTAAAGACCTTCCCTATAAAAAAATAAGATCTAGGCAAGATAACATTCTACTTTCAATTCTTGTTTGTAGCTTCTTTGTATTTGTGATGTTGAGGAGATGGAAAACCAACAACTAGCGTATTCAATTGAAGAGCCTTCGTTTACTGATTTGTCAAATGAGACATTAAGATTGTCACAACCTTCAAGATGATGCAATCAAGATGAAGATCCTCAAGAACGATATGTTTTTCCTTGAATAGATGGCGAGATACAACACATTTGGCATCACAACCTTGGAAGAGACTCTCAATGTTTGATTATTTTATTTGAAGTAGGAACAACTCTTGATATTATTCCAAATGTTTTAATTGAAGGAAGTTATGAAGGCTTCAACAATGTCTAAATAACAGGGTGGTCTTCCTGCCTTAGTATGAGATACTATTGATGGTTGAAAGGCCCTATCAACCATCTTCCAAGAGAACAAAGATCTGAGTATGTAGCAAATATAATTTGTCACATTATAGATTTTCTCAACATATGATGACCACTCTTTGTAGAACTCGTCCCTAGAAGGAGGAGTAATATCGCGGAGATATACATATAAGTCAGCAATCATCTATATATATATATATATATAAGAAGCTTATTAATTATGTGCTACATATGTTGGTAACTTGAAGAACAAGCTAATTATGTGGCAAACATATAGAAAAACTTGCCTTGTAAGTCAAGGCATGTGTCCTACAAAATCAACACATATTGGAGGTCCTATAGAATATTGCCACGTAGCTCCTAGTTAAATAATATATATAGAGACAAGAGTGAAGGCCTCTTCACTCTTGTCAACTCATTTCTTGCTTTTAGTCTAGTTTCAAGAGTCTCAAGTATTCTTGTCTTTTGGCAATAAGCCATTCCAGTTTCTTTTTAATATATGTACTTCCTTATTTCTATTTAGTCACTTTTTCTTTGACATGGATTTCATTGGTTTATACATCATCTTCTAGTTCATATCCTTGACAATATGTGGAGACAAGAGTGAAGCTTTCTTTATTCTTGTTAATGCTTTTATAGTCCTTAGTCTTGTTTCAAGAATCTCTAATCTTCTTCTCTTTGATAATTGCTATTTTAGTTTAATACTATATCAACTTTCAATAATTATTTATTCTTTTTTAGTAAAACAAGAATATATTAATCTTTTGGTTCTTTATGATTCATATCGTTGACAGTTTGATAAGAGTTCTAACTCATTTTTCTTGTTTTGTTTTAAAAGTGAATGTGTAATATCACTTCTATTATTGTATTTTGAAGGTTACAGAATATGCACTTTTAAACTAATATTTTAGTTTTCTAACATTGATTGTTTTTTTAAAGAAAGTGGACTACTCCTATTTGTAGAAATTTTCATTTGATATTAGAAGTTGAGGATTCCATATAGATGACTTTGTATGTTTTGTAGATATGGTTTTGACAATCAAAATTCACTTCCAAAGTGGAATACTTTATAATTTAAGATAAAATACTTTTTTAAAATAATTTAAGTAGTAATTTAAATAGTTTTTGCTTGTATTATTAAAAAAATATATATTTTCTTTTGAAATCTATTATTTCAAAGAACCTAAGAAATTGCTTAGAATAAATTCAATAATAATGATAAAATATGCTACAATATTCATAAAATAAATTTAATAAAAAAAATCAATTACAAATTATATTATATTTTAAAAAGAGATATTAAAAATATATTATTAATAATTTATTTTATGATAAAAACACATATTTATTCATATATAATAATAATAATAATAATAAATACAGATATGGTTATTCATTTTAAAATATTTTATATAAATTTTGATAGTTAAATTTGCAAAGAATTCATCTTTGTAAAATAAAACTGCATGATTATTGATTTTTTTTTATAGAATATTCTTATTTTATAGTAAAAAAGTAAAAACCATTTTATCAACTAAAACCAAATAGTTAATGTATTTTAATTTTTTAATGTTTATTTTTCTATTTTTTTGTGGTTCTGGTTTTTTTGTATTTCTGATTATTCATATGTATTTTATTTTTTATATTTTAATGTATGTGTGTTCTCTTTATGATTGTTATTTTGAAAAGTAGTGGCAAATTATGAAAAGTTTTTCTATTGACATTGTTTATTGCTGATCAAAAGTCAATTGGCCTTCATGTGAATATTGTCATTTTTCTAGGTTATAACTTTATGGATGTAAATAACAACAATGTTTCAACTCCAATCGTTCCTCCTTATAATTTAAGAAGTGCACCTTAGTAATAATAGCATTATTGAAAAAAAAAAAAAAAAAAAAAAAAAACTATAATTTCTTAGAATTTTTTTTTTTTTTTTTTTTTTTTTTTTTAAAAATCTTATCATGATTATTTAATATTACTTTTGGATAATACTTTTAGATCTTGTAATATAAAAAAAATATTATTTTTTTAATATATATATATATATATATATATATATATATATATTCCATCTAATTTTTTTTATAAAAACTTAGATTTTTACTTTAATCATATATATTTTTAAACAGATTCAATCAAATGAAGAGAATAATACTTGTTTATTTGTTTTATTCATAAATAAAAATACACAAATATACATATTATTATTATTTTTATTATTATTATGTATTTTTTGAAAGACATGCACAAAGAGCTTTTGTTTTTAATTTAATTAATTTATCATTTTTTGTCTTTTGAATATTTGTTTATTTTTTTGCTCAGATACTAAAAATATTATTTTCAAAATCTAGAAATTTTCAAAAACCCATAATTAAATGGAAATAAATAAATAAAAATAAAGCTAAAATCTGCATCAAATTAAAAACTAGCTGGATGATAAAATAATGATAACTGCAAAACTTGTTTATTTTAAATCAACTAAGATTTTGATAGATTAAAAAGTTTATAACTACAAAACATCAAAAGATAGAAATTTGAAGTGAGTATCAAATAAATGTATGTAGCTGATTTGTGCTTTGAAAAAATTATCTTCAAATTTCATAGGTTAAGCCTAAAATGGAAAAAAGGGATTTATTCATAAAAATAGTATGATAGTGCTATATTGTAATTTATAATTAACTTACAAAATACCATGTTATTATAGACAATTAAAACTTATGCAGATTTGTGAAATTCCTTGCTTGGTTGACATCTATCATGAATTAGTATAAATTTTGTGTAAACTTTGATAGCACCCCATGTAATATTCTATTCCTATAAAAACATATTTTCATAAACAGAAGCTGACAGTAGTTGGCAGAATAGGAACACATTTTTGACCGTTATGAGAACACAATTGTGATGATTTTTAATTTCTTTATTGTTTGCTTCTTGTATGAACTCATACTTCCTTCCATTAAAGGTTTCAATAGGCCTACATAATTTTTAAAGTAAAGAAAAAAAAAGTTGATACTGTGCTGATATCCTTTAATCTGCAATGTTACACAGAGGGATGCATGTGCTTCGGAACCGTTCATCTAGAATCAGCTAGAATTTTTCATTAACTTTTTAAAAAACATGAAAAATTAAATAAAGCATGGTCCCAATAGTCAACTGATTCAATTTTTGCAAGCAGTGCATTCAATGATCATTAACCATTCATTGGAAGACATCAATCAGGCTTTTCATAACACTGATTGTCTGAGATTAATTGTTTTCCTGCAAAGAAGCTTTTGTCGGTTTCAACCTTGACCTACAAGAACTGCCCATCTAACACTTCCAATGGATTCAAAAGCAACGCTGGTCGCTTAATCAACACCTTCTCTTCTTTATCATAAGAAAACAAAGCAGTTGTGATGCACAGAACCATCACTAATTCACTAGATTAACAGTTTCTGATCAGGATTTTCTGAAGATGGGAGAACTCGCCGAAAGGGATGACAAAGAACAACTCTTCCAGTCTCCAATCGAACTGAAAAGCAAACTAAAGCATTTCTTTGCCAGCGTCATAACTGTATCACATTAGACTGTGTATCCTGATTAGATGAACCCAGTGGAAGCAAGGGAGCCCACATAGCTCATCAGTGACTCGTAACCTGAAGACACTCAAACTTGGAGAACAAAACAGGACGAACAAGACTTGGAGAGCTTTTGAAACGCAATTCAACACACAACGTGCTCCTTTCATTTCGTCATCTAAATCCATAGGTGAGGATCAGGTGCCCAGCCCAAGTGACCAGGTTACAATAGCACTATGTCCTCTTCTAACTCATACACAACGACCGTTGATGATGGGCACGCAAAACTTACTGATCATATGGACAGTGTTTCCTGATTAATTCTAAGGGATTAAGCATATTGCTAACCACAAAACTAGCAGCTGACTACAGCAAAATATCGAACTCGATGCTCGGTGAGTATTCTTACCACTACTCTATATGTAAACCTTGAACCCTTTGGGTGATAGTTTCCGGTTGTGGCTTGTTCAGAAGATCTAGAAGTCCAGTCGCCTTTCGTTTGGCACGGTTCGTGGAATCTCGTGAAGTGGCTAAAACAGTCAAAAGCTCAATAGCATTCGTCTCCCTCGTTTGTTTTGCGTAGTCAGGGTCGTGAGAACACAATTGCAGTAAGATTGAAGCTGCATTCTCCTTGTTCCGTGGTGACTCAGCCATAATAACCCTCAGCCATGTGGGAGGGGGTCCGACTGCACTAATGGCGAGACGGCCCTCGTGATTCGAGGCTAGGATGGCCAAGATAGCCACAGCTTCATCAAGCATGATGACCGGTTGCTCTGTCAGAAATTTCATGAGGGGGGAGACCAGTCCAGCCTGCACTGCACGCGCTCTGTTCCCTTGAAAAATGGTGAGGTTGAAGAGCGCAGTTGCAGCGTCCTTCTTGCCTCGTGCGGTTCCGTCATGAAGCAAAGCAACCAGAGCAGGAATGGCACCAGAGTTCCCAATGATGATCTTGTTATCGTCAACCAGAGAGAGACTAAAAAGCGTAGCTGCAGCATTTTCCCGGGCATCCATGCAACCACCCTTCAAAACCTCGACGATGAGCTCAATTGCACCTGTAAGCCAATCCTACAGTTGAGAACACGCACTGTATAGCAAGTGACAAAACGATATTAATACATAAAAACAGAGAAAAACTTGCGAGTATCCTACTACCTGCCGACGCAATCAGTCCTTTGTTGTTCTCATTGATTGACAAATTCAACAATGCTGTCACAGCATGTTCCTGGGTCTTCTGGTCAGGTGACCGTAATAATCCTACCAGGGGTGGTATAGCCCCTTGTTCGGCAATGCAGATACGGTGATCAACGTTTTTCTTCGCCCGCAGACGGAGTTCACAAGCAGCATCCCTTTGTACATCAGGTATCGAACAAGATAACTTCGTGATGAGCTCATCAATGGCAGCTTTGTCCTCCGCTGAGCACTGATTGCTCTTCGACCGCTTTTTGGGCATTTCTACGCCGTGCACTGTACACCATTCAGCTATGACACTGCGAAGGACGTGATTGGGCGTCAAATGGGTGTGAGTTAATGACACGCCTGTTTTTGGGCAAGTCTTCTTCCCACTTTCTAGCCATTTCTGAATGCACAAACGCTCATATGTCTGCAAATACCACAGAGACCATGAATAAGCTTAAGACCCCTAGAAGCATAGGGCACTGATAACATCTGAAATGAGTTGATTTGAATGTCCGAAATGGAAAAATTGACATAACCGAATCATCTCTTCTATAGAAGACTCACGGTGGTACTGAGGCTTCGATTAACACTAACACTGACAGAAAGGAATCCCAATGACTTAAAAAAGTACTGGGAAAAATAGTCGTTGAAGTTGTTGGCTGAGGATAGATTACGAATCATCTTTGGATAATTTCTTTACAACTGTAACTACAGACGTTTAGATGTCTCTCAGAATATGGAAAATGATGGGAGCACAAAAAAAAGAACTGTAGGTATAGGGGCTTCACTTACCTGTCCAGTCGCAATAATGACAGGGTCTTTCATCAGATCCAAAGAGATGGGACACTTGAAGTCGTCTGGAATGTTTAGTACCCCTTTGTCTGGTCCTAAGTCGGAAGCAGCAGGTTGCACACTGGTCTTCTCCACGCCAACCCTCTGTGCTACTTGAAGCTTGTTCAATTCAGGATCATCTTGTTCTAGGTCTTCTGGTGGAAAGAGGTTTTTTAAATCATTCAGAAGTCTAAAGAGTTTCTCAAATCTTGACTCATTAACCAGAATGCCATCTGTAGCCGCTTCCTTTTCCGTTCTCATACCATGTAGAGCTTGTAGATCTTTTATCAATGCTCTCGCAGTATCAAACTTGAACAAATCAGCCAGCCTCCTCAATTGATCTTTCGAGCATTCATTTGTCTCATCCAATACTGAAAGCAATTCAGCATTCAACTGTGCATCAAAAGGATCTTCTAGACCCTTCGATCTTTGAAATTGATTGTGCACCAGGTCAACCTAGAAAGCTGCAAGGATTAGAATGACATGCACAAGGAACTTGACAACCATCAGAATGTACACTCCAAATAACAAGGGATTGGGAGCTTCAACAAAATAATAAAAAAAAATGGACAGCCAAATTGCGCACAATTAACTAGCTATTAGAAGTTACCTGCTCTCGCACTTCGTCTGAAATTTCAATAGAGATCGGCTTGTCTAACGCCTGTCCCAATGCTGTGTTTAGCATTAAAAATTGCTTTGCCACATTTTTTTGCTCCAAGATCTGTAAAAGAAGAATGTAATCAGACTCTGTGTACAATATTGCTATCACGTATAGAACTTTTTTTTAAAAAAAAAGCACACTGAAAATCTTGCAGAAAATGACAGATTAAGAAAACATTGTTAAGAATAGAGCTCAGACAGAAGATAGTCCACAAGCCAAAAGAAGACGTTGATGGAGGAGAACACTACAAATGAATTTTCTTCGAGAACCTTTTACACATAATTACAATTAAACAATAAGGGGCGAACCTCACCAGGTACAGTTTACTTCCTTTGTTGCACAAGAGCAGCAAGACCTTGGCAGCGTTGAGAGATGCCTCCAAGGCGTTAAAGCATACCAAGTCTTCTTCCGATAAAGTTAATTTCAAGTCCCTAACTTCCTCAAATAGTGGGACAAGCAATTTCACTCGCCTGGTGAGTGTGGAGCACTCTTTTTTATGGCACTTGAAATTTCCAATTGAAGTTATCACAGTGCAAGTCTCAAGTATCTTCTGCACTAAAGAATGCGAAGAACTTTCAGCCATTGTGAATCTCCGCGCTGATTGCTAAATAAAACCTCCCTAGAACGTCTTAAATAAAATGCTTGTGCTCCCCACCAGGTGTTACACCACGCGGAATAGTTCGTGTCGATGAACAACTAGATAGTAAGCGCAACTCATGAGAAAGAATCCTTGTTTCTTAATTCAAGAAGGCTGCTACTTTTGACCGTAATCATATCATGTGAACCAAACCTGTTTCAAACATCACCATAACGAACGCCTATGTTTTAATGATGGAAAACTCCACAACATCTGCATCCTTTCCAACTGATTTGAAATACTGTATCCCTGCCAGCTGAGAATCATTAACAATTTTCCAAAGTAATCTTAACACCTACTCTTCATCTTCATCTTCAACGAAATTCCCGTCTTTAAACATCAATCGCTCATCGCCATACGAATACCTGCACTAGACGCGTAGAACCTTAGGAGTAAGAATAAACTGAAAGAAATGCTTTAACTCCTACAAAATTTTTGTTTCTTATCAACCAGCAACAGAGCTTACGAAAAATTGTTACAAGATACTGTAGCAGACCGCTAAAATTGGTCAGTAGTTAGAACGTTTCGGTACATATTCAAACGATTTAACCCTAATCAAATCCGAAGCAAGCACATGAAAGTGACGTGGTACAATGTAAACCGCATAATTGTTCGCAAAATATCTACTAATAGTTGCATTTCATGGTTAATGCAAATGCCTACTACCAGCAAGAGGATAAACAAATCAGAGGATAACAAAAATCAGCATGCTCGATAGTACGCACACGTCGGGGAAAGGAAGATGATCGGAAGCAGCTAGAGACAGCAGATGATTAGATTGCAAAACTTCTAGGGACTGAGCTACCTAGTGATGTTTGAAAATCCTTCTGCACAGAAACCCGCATCAGGGAATCGAAACAAGACTTTACAACTACGCCGGAATCGAATCTGAACACGGTCGTTCTCCGTGGCAAGTCAAGGATAAGTTGATCATAGGCCATTAAAACAAGTCAGTAATCGATCCAATTGGATGATCTCGAAAGTGGAAAGTTCGAAACCTTCTTTCTCTTTAGTCGCTACCAGCACCATGGAAAGTCAAATCATTGGTATGTCCATTCGCTTTCCGTGGTATACTTTAAGGATAGTGAAGTGTGTACCGTAAAGGTCAACAGAAGAAGAAGAAGAAGAAGAAGAAGACAGCAGTCGCGGGCGTAGCATACAGAATCCAGCAACAAAATTCACAACCCCATAACAAATAATACACAATTTCTACTTCGAAAGGAATGGTGGGGGAATTTAAAGAGAACCACTCAAGCTAGAGCTCTAAAACTGTGAAGAGGATAGAACTCAGCGATGTCCCAACACAAACGAAAAGAGATTGGGAGCATGAGGAACGAGGTGGAGCACCCTAACACTTTTCTACCAGGAAGACGAGGAATGCACAACATCGAAGACGACCTTGGCCACGGAACAGTTGTTTCCTTGTTCCCTCACTTCCCACTCAGCTAACGAACTAACACGCCTCCCACACATCCACTCACCTCCGCCATTCCAAGGAAAACGAGATATCATTAAGCTGGCGACAGAGCATCATCCCACACACGCTCTCGCTCACATAACCTTCGCAGTCGCACCATAGTCACAGCCAGTCAATCCCCAGAACTCACACAGACCGGAACCTCCTCATTCCAAGGTTAACATCTCCCCAGAAAACACAGCTCTTCGCTAGAGAATCCGGCCGGTACAGGAACCCACCTCACGTTCGTCATGCCCAGTCAATCGCAAACCTCAGCACCTCTATGGATGATCTCACAACCCTACACGGGCCCAACACCCTCCAGCACCATCACAGAACGGCCTCAATCAACATTGCTTCTGTAGCGAACACGAATCAAGTCAATGCAGCAGCCGGAATCCCATCTCCGCTTTGTTCTCCGACATCCATACCCCCAATCCCACTGTCCTCCGTCGCCTCCGTCCTCCTCCTCGTATTCCCCTCATAGTCGTAACAATACTTACCTCGTCATTCAGGGCCAACACTTTACCCTAAAACCTTACCATCATTGTCACCATCACTCAAACCGACATCCTCACCATCAACAGTTCCCGAATGACTCTGGATCTCCCGAAATGACCACGAACTGCACCCGAGAATCATTCCCCGAGTTTACCTGCTCACCTTAACACGAGAGCAAGCCGTTTGGTGCACTGTATAACATGAGACCTTGTCCGGCGTGTAATATGCTTCGTCATAACGAGCGGTGAGAACCGGCATTGGGTGTAAAGTTAGTCCAAACGACCTAAATGCCGAAACAGGTTAAAACCAGGTTCAATCTTTGGGCAGCCGATAAAAAATCAAGCTCCTCGACGATGAAATCAACCATGCTGGTCAATACAAATACAAGGAAAACCCACTTTAACGACCTGAAATTTTACGGGTTATGTGTTAACTTGAAGTAAAGGCTTTACTAGGTCAAAGTGTTGAGGTAGTGAATCGACACAAATCCAGATTATGAGCCCGATTAGCGCACCACTTCCCTGTGCAATCAACGCGGATTTTTTTTTTCTTTTTTTTTTTTTTTTGAATGGTTGCAATTATATTATCCTACCCCGTGTGTGTGTCGAATCTTCCTCCACACCCTTCCAGTAAAAACCTTTTCTCGCGAATGTCGATTGATTCACTACGACATTTTTCTCAGATCATCGCTCTGTGTACGGGTGATAGAAGTGATGGTGACACTACGACTGCAGTTTCGACTCAAGATGAGTTGGTTTCGCAAGTGCGGTGATGAAGTCAAGGCGCGATGGTGTGACGTGTATGTGTGTGTGTGTTGAGAGGGTTAGCTTGAGTTCAGAATGCCGCCCTGCCTTCCCCGCTCCATTGCCAGAAGAATAAACAAACAAACAATAACAAAAACGAAAACGAAACGGAGATGTGGCGCAAGTCAGATTTGTAATGCGTGCTGTGGAACAGCGGGGCTCTTCGCGTCGACAGCGCCCCAAAATAGCCCAAGACCAACACAAGCCCAGTCGATGTTCGTCGGAGGCTGTCCACAGAGACCATAACGACTTCCAACACCCCGCCAGGCTTTACTGTATCCGATTATTTGCGAGTTGTGGTGTCCATTGGACGCGTGACGATCGAAGCACTGGGAGGAGACGACGGCTCAGACTGAAGATGAGCAGCGATCGCGCAGTTTGTGGCCATTCCTGGCATTGAGAACCAAGACGTAGTAGTACAATCACCACCAGGACCCGGCGTCGCTGCCAGGTACAATGCCAGTACCTCGAGGGCGAGATACACTGCACCATGGTCTCAATATTATCTCCGAAACTATCTCGAAGAATCTCGTGCGTGGCGCGTGCTCAGTGTGCCTCGGTTCGCTAGGCTTTTCCGAAGAGAATCCGGGGTCGTCTCTCTCGCTTCTTCACTTGTGTAAACAGGGGATACATGCACAAAAAAAGGAAAAAAAGGAAAAAAAGAGAGAGAGAGAGAGAGAGAGAGATCGAGGCGGTAGCAGTGATACCACGTGGTCTTGACCGAAGCATACGTCAGAGGAGGTGGCGAAAGCCGTGGAAACATGCAATTGAGTTTGTTGGGTGTGGAATTTTATTTTGTTTTCATCCCATGACGTGGAAAAGCGCCGGGTCATTACAAGGTTCGAATGAAAAGCGGCGGAGACTGATTCCGAGAAGATGAAGTTGTTTATTGGGGGTATTGTGTTTTTTGCAAGGGAGAGGGGATCGGATAACATGGAAAGGGAGAGGGCAGGAGACGGACACCAGTAACACGATCTTTTTGCGCTTGTGCCACCACCCGAAGGATAAGCGGGTCAGCCTCTCATGAATTTTGTCCCCACCCACCCCTTTGCTCTTTGCCGTGTAGCATTCGTTCACGAGAACAATTCCCTTCACTGTAGCTGCAGCTGGCTCCGCGATCAGATGCAGTGCGCGAATTTCGTATGCCTTGGAGGACTGTAGCTATTGCATTGCTACGTTGTCGGGGTTGCGCTTCTAGCTGCTGCCGCTGCTGCTGGTATCTGTGAGTGGAATTGTGCAGGTCTGTGATTAACCCGCTTGTGCAAATGGGATGTGTGAGTAGACGAATTTGTTGTTGCATGGCCAAGTTTCCACCGATTTCACGTGGTTTGGTTTCGCTACTCCAGACTGCTGGCGCTGGGAATTCTACTTGTGGGAGTTCTTGGGGGCTTCGTATGCAAGCTTTGTGGGTTTGTGGGGCTTTTGCATGGCAGTTAGGGTTCTTCAAGGTTTATCTGAAAATGGAGTCGCGGAATGTCTTCGCCGCTAAAATTCTGTGATTGTGGAGAATCGGTGGTTTTATTTTTTATTTTTTATTTTTTAATGCGATTATGGGCTTGAGGGGAGTTCGCTGCTGTGTCGTCGTCAGCGATTTTGGTACTTGAATGTGAAGGTCTAAAATCTTGCACGCGGATCTGGATGTGTCGACGACTAAAACTGTGTTATGGAACTTCTTGCTTCAATGTATGTTTGTAAGGCTTTCTGCTTTCAATGGTGCATGAATATAGTGACTCTGAAGAGGAAACGATGCCAGAATCCAGCTACGGGCTGAACTTGATCGCTGGGCTGCTACCAGGGTTTGCGGTTTTAGCATTTGAAAGAGATTTCAACTAGAGAAATTGACTTGGCTATGATGTTGAGTGGAATGCCGGGGATTTAAAAGAGAAAAGAAACACACACAAACACTGACACACACAGAATGAACGAAAGAAAGAAAGCAGAAGCGCAGATTAGCTCCACTATCACCTGCATTATCTGTAAGTTTGTACGAAGGCTTGAAACGCAGGGCATCCGTGTAGAAGAGTTCTCAATTCGTGTCTTCGTATGCTTTCTTTGGTTTGTAGAAAATCGCATAATGTACTTATTCGAAAACGCTCCTTCGAGGCTATTGGTTGCCTTTTCAGGCACTCTCATATACGCATACTCTACGACAACCTCTGACAAGTTTTAGAGGTGTTACAACGCTTAGCTGGGTACCATAAATTGAACACTGATTCTCAGTTTTTGTTGTGTTCTTGTAGATGGCTCGCATAAGAAACATGGAAGACCCCATTCCAAATGTACACGGCGGCATTTATGAAGACGGACCATTCAAAATAGAAATCGTGCATGTCGATGATGCAAGTTCCTCTTCAACTTGTCTGAAGAAGAGCCGAGCTGCTGTGGACAGGGAGAATCTCTCTCCAAAGCCGCTGGTAGTAGCGTTGCCGAAGGAAGAAGGAGTGTACCCAGTGATCCAATTCCACCATGGATTTACTTTACAGAACATGTTTTACAGCCAAATCATCTCCCACATCGCATCCTATGGATTCATAGTCGTTGCACCTCAGGTGAGCACTCATTTATCAATGCACACAACACCCCTCTCCCAACTTCTTCTACTCTGCAAGTAAACCAGCCACGGCTGGTGCGAATTCTTTGTGGTCTGATGTGTACCTTGGGCATACTGGCAGATGTACAAGATCTCGGGGTCAGACGCAACAACTGAAATCGAGGACGCGGTGCAAATATTGAACTGGATGCCAACAGGATTGGTGGCAGCATTGCCCGAGACTCTATCAAAGCACCGGCCGGATTTCAGCAAAGTGGCACTTGTGGGGCACAGCCGAGGGGCGAAAGTGGTGTTCGGGCTTGCACTCGGCGTTCGGAACAGCATTTTGCAATACTCAGCCGTGGTGGGGCTCGACCCAGTGGACGGCATGGGCATCGGACAGCAGACCAACCCCCCAATTCTCCAATTCTCCGAGGGCTCCCTAAACCTCGGCGTCCCAACGCTCATCATCGGAACAGGCCTCGGCCCACTCCGCAAAAACTTTTTGTTCCCAGCATGCGCCCCAGCAGGTGTGAGCCACGAGGCCTTCTACTACGACAGTGCGGCGCCGGCCTTCCACTTCGTGGCATCCAAGCAAGGCCACATGGATTTTCTCAACGATGATTGCAGCGGTCCCACGGGCATGTTCTCCTACTGCTTGTGCAAAAACGGACCGACCCGCAAGCCCATGCGACGGTTCTCCGGGGGCATGGTGGTGGCCTTTCTGCGAGCTGCTTTCTTCGGCGAGACTGCCCCTCTTGTCGCTGCTCTTGCCACACCTGAGCTTGCTCCCATCCCATTAGACCGACCTGAATTTAAAGGTAAGCTGGGTGATGCATTCAACAAACCCATGCTTGCTCCGGCGCTCACTCCTTGATCCATGCTTAGCTTTGCCCTGCATCGATCCTTCCCTCCCTTTGTACACAAGAATGGCGTTGCAATGAATCTTGAGAATTCGTCGACTTGGCATCCGACACTCCCCATGTGGGCTGCTGATTGACACTACTGTTTTTTTCTTTTCTTTTTTCTCCCTTTTGTGCTTCTTCCCGTTGTATCGTGTGCTTCTCAGTCTTGTCGAATCACCTATGGTGGTGTCGGTGGATGTCGATGACTGAGTGCGCGTGTATGAATCCTCGGAACGGCGTTTTTCTTCGCCGTGTTGCGTTGAGCTGTCGGTGTTAAAGGTGCGAGTTTTAGGGTATTCGTAGCTGCTGGATTGTAGGGCGAGGGAGGAGTAGGGTTTATCAGTGTAGGGATGATTAGATTTCATTTTTTATATTGAAACTAATCTTTGTGTATATATTTATACGATTAGGTTTTTTTTTTTTTTTTTTTTTTTTTTTTTCTAGGATATATTTTACACCAAGCAATTATATTGAATATAGTGTATGATCACCTACTTTTTAAAATGTTTTGCTCGTGCAACTGCTTGGAATTGTTGGTGACCTTGCACTTCAAGCAACCGAATGAGATGATTTATGTGCTTTTGTGCTTGAAGAACTAGATAATACATCCTTATTTTTGTATTTTCTTTTGGCAATAATTTAGAAAGAATATATTAGCTATGTTAAGTCGTGGATAGTGCAATATTCACTTGCATTGTGTAAAATCATGGAGGATGTTATAACTCAAATTAATATATAATATCTGAAAAAATCGACCTAATTGATGTACAATGAATGGTTTGAAATGAAAATTTATCAAGGTATTAAATCAAAAAATTCGTAATTTAACATTACACTTTTTAAAGTTGTATGTCAAAACACCAAAACCAAGCATTCATCTTATAATTAACCAATTTAACTAATTGGTTCGAATTTGAGTTTAAATACTGAAAATTATTGTTCAGAACTTTTAACTGATACTTGTGTCTTGTTTAGATTCAATCGTATTTTATTGAAAAGTAAATATAAAGTCAAAAGTACATTTCGAAAAAAGTATTTCACCTCCACATCATATTGAATCTGATTATAATTTAGGATATGAAGTAGAAAAGAATCTTCTGTTTGTAGGACACATAGGAGGCATTCGAAGTGTGAGTATATTAAAATAATTATAACATTTTTAGGAATAAATGTGTCGGCTCTCACAGAAGAAATTATTACCAAACAAAGATATGTTTATAAATTTTTCAAATACCAAAATTTTCACATGATTGAAAAAAATTCACAAAATTTTCACATAGTTGATAAGTCACAATTATTCCAACTACAAAAAAACATAAGGATTTTTTTTTTTTTTTTTTTTTTTTTCTGTTTATCATTTATCACATGAAGACTTTGCATAGATTAAATAAAAGTATCTAGAGAATACATTAAATTTTAAAAAATCCCTATAAAATATTCAATTATTTCATTTTAAGCAATTTTTTGAGCATCACAACAAGAAATAAAGCAGCTCAACATTATGTGTACAAATTTCATTAAAACCAACAATAAAATCTATATAGATCCAAAAGAAACACTAATATTCTAGTTACTATGGAATTTAATGGTAATATTCTTCATTATATTGAATACATGAATTGCAAAAGGCAACCATAATTGCTTCTAGTAATTGGGCTTCATAAGTTGTATTTGCCATGAAATGTGTTGAAGTGGGAGAGATTGGTGGGTAAAGCACAAATTGCTCAAATTCAACATATATTCCAAATTTCCAAACATTTATTTCTTTATCTTATTTTGAACAATTAACAACATTTGCAATGGTTTTAAGTAGTCAAATGATCAAAAAAGCAATTGCTCTTCTTCTCTTGCATTCTCTAGAACAATGTACCCACCTTGTAACAAACTTCTATCTATTGCCTCATGCAAAGAGATTGGAATATACAATTTTAACCATTGGCTTTATTATTATGCACATTGTAATCAAATGCACTTAACCATGCATTGCTTGTTCCAATATTACTTACAATATTTGTGGTTCATTTGTTTTTTCATCTCTTTATTTAATTGTCTATCTATTGTTCTTTCCTTCCCCTTTTCTTTCTTACTTACCATGCCTGTTTCATATGAATGCTTAAATTTTTGAAATAAAATGCAATCCTTTAGTATAAAAACAACTCATGTGCGTCAAAGGAGATACAATGGAAAATACCACCAAGTTTAGGTTTAGGATTTCCAAATTTGGAATTTTATTCTTTTGTTTTTGTTGTACTCTAACATAGTCCATTTTATATAAAATTTTGTTTAGACTAAATTTTAAGGAACACAAAGAAATGCAAGAAATAAGTGAGTTTCCTCTCAATGCTTGTAAATTTAGTATTGAGAAAAAACTTTGTATTTGAATAATATTGGCTTGTTGACATTATTTATTCAAATGGTGTGTGGAAATGTTTATTTAACATTATTATATGAATTTTAGAATACCTTAAAAGAATCAGATGTAGCATACAATCAAACCAGGTTTATTATGATAATAAAACGATTATTTTTATACTCGATATTATTTTTTTACACATTGAAACCTAGAAATGTGTATATTTGAATGATGTTATGGTATATAAAATGATAAAGAATTCCATTTTTTTTTTTAAACTGATGATAATATTATGGATTTGTTTTTATGAAAACATTTAGATGTTTTAACTTGATCAATTATTAAGTCTGAACCTTTGCTACAGCATTTGGATTTATTCAAAGACTCAATGCACTATTAAATTACCCATTACAATTCAAGCAACTGTAATAGAGAATTTTAATTTTTCAGTCAGAAGATTAAATCTTAATTATTCTACAAATCTCATTCCTTAAAGAAAAAAATAAAAATAAAAATAAAAACCACATACACTTAAATTATCATGTATGTATGTATATATATATATATATATATATATATGTTCTGGGAGCATTAATTTTTAAATACTAAATCAAGCAATTTTACAGACATACCTTTTCATAAATATGTCTTTTCAATCTTTGACTCTGATTATTATAGGTAACTTTAAAATACCTTATGTAATTTTATGACTTACAATCCAATCTTTACAGCAAAACATTTTTATCATACTCTACTGAAATCTTGTATCTTTGTTTTTAAAAAAGTTATACCCAATACACAAATCATGTTTGTAAATTTATTTTCACGCATAATAATCAATTTTAAGTTATAATATAAGAAAGTGGAAAGCTTGGTCAACAACATTTTCTTCTTAAACAGCCAATTGAGAAAAAATTTGTACAGAGTTGATTTTTTAAAATCAAATGGATAAAATTCAATTTCCATACGTTTACGTTACTTTTGCAGTTGTTGTAGCTGTTATGTATACAAGATCTACTTGTTAAAAGAAGCTGACTCGTACAAACAAAAATAATGTAAGTTCGTTTTGAACAAATTCTTGTGCATTGCAAAACTTTGAGTGGAGGAAATAATTAATCATTAAATTTGTTAAATTATGCAAATATTATTATATTTATGATGGTACGTTAAAGTATGGTTTTACATTGTTCAGATATATGTTTTATTGTACTTCAAAATATTTCATAAAAATTGTCTCTAGTTAGTTATAATACTTTCATATTTTTTCATTGTTAAGAATTAAACTAATGCCTCTTTTTGATAGATTGAACGTTAAAAATAAACAACTATCAGATGGGTGAGTATTGCTTTTGTCAAACTCAAGCTGTTAGCTTCTATATTTTGAGTAGAAGAAATTCAATTGAAAAAAGAACCTTGCAAAAACCGATTGAAATTATGAAAGATGTACTTGAAATATTTGAATCTTCAACTTTATAGGCGAACTAAAAAAGTAAAAGAAAATGTGCACCATACAAGAAGCTTATTTAATTATTTAATTCTTATTTAAAAATATCATTTAATTATATCTTTTCAAAGATTTTGTTTTTATATTTTTTTATCTTCTGTTTCGATGTAACTTCTAAAAGTTACATTGATTCATTTTTTTTTTCTTCACTTCATTTTTTTTTCTAAAAGAAATTATGTTGAAATTAAATTTTAGATAATATTTTTTTTGAACTATTTTCAAATTAAATCGTAGGAATAAATTTATCTATTGACCCTGTTTGTTATTATTTTTTTCTTGTTGCTTTTTTCTTTTTTCTTGAGAAATTACTGTAAAAACAGATACTACTTAAATCATAATTTTCACACACTGTTGTATAACAGAATCATTGTTCTTAAAGTAAAAAATAAAAATAAAATTATCCACCATCCAAAACCATGAGATTTGTGAAACTGCAATTTAGTGTTTTGTTTCTGTTGCATGTTTCCAGTTGCAAGTGTTTTGAATTGTTAATTTTTTGGTTCGTTTTTTATTTTTTTTATTTATGTATTTATTTTTTCCTACTTGCAATTGAAAAACGGTTTTAAAAACATTGTTTTTGGCTGTATGTGTTTCTTTTTCATTATTTCTTTTTAACATGTTTACAGTCTTCATGGAAAATGTTTGAATGATTTGATATTACATTGTTTGCATTGGAATTTGTTATTGTATTTTATATCATCGTAAACTCATTAGATGCTTCAACACAAGACTTGCAAAAAAAAACTAGGAAAATAATGGATATTAATAAAGCAAATAATTTTTTTAAAAACTTTCTAAGGGATATTTTAAATTCTGCATATAACATATGATACATCACATAGTATTAAATGTTCAAACACTAGGACAAATTTCTAATAAGTCATGAATGGGCTTTCTCTCATTATTTAGATTTAAATTTTCAACTATTTACTAAAACCATTCACAATGTGTAAGTGGATCTGAAACCATTCATAATGTGCAAGTGTTTGTGACTTAATATGAGACTAGTTGTAGGCGTTGTAATTTTTTATGGTTGCAACAATTTGAAATCATAATAATGTCAACCCATTTATTTGAAATTTAATTTTTTTATTAATTAACATATATGTATAAACATTTATGTACATATACAAAATCAGTTTTTCTTGTTTCAAATGAATTTCGTTCTATCCGAATTCAGAATTCTATTTGCAAGCATTTAATTGAAACTGATTATTATATCCTTTGTACTAATCCTTTGGTATGCCAACACAGCTTTAGTTTGTTAATTCTATAAAAAATTGCAAAAACTTATGTGTATGCGTGTGTGTATATTTATCACTTAAAACTGATAAAATTTGTGACTAGTACAACTCTCAATTGACCACAATTATTTAATAAAAAATTATAATACTTCAATATCTAATTATGGTATTTAAAGTGTTGGAAGTATCATTCAATACACATTGGAAGAATGCCATGATTGAAAATTGACAATTTTAAGCAATTACATTGCAACATGCACCAGATTTTTGATAGAAGCCCCCAAAGATTAAAAATATTTGTCTTAAAATAAAATATTAGTAATATAATTCATGAAACGAATAAATATGGGTTTATACTTTTTTGAAAAAAGGTACCAAAATGACAAGGTCCAATGTGTTTACAATTATTGAATGTTTTGTAGATTAAGTTTAGAGTCCTCAACATGTAAAACTTATCAAATAATAGTTATAAGAAAAAATAGAAGCATTAGATATACATTTCATAGTTATTTTCTTTTTCTTTCTCTAGCATAGAAAGTTATCCAAAATTTACTGTAAATTGATCCAATACCAACAAACTTATGTTTGAGACTTTATTGTTTTGATGAACCAAATACCATCTTTCATTTGCTTGTAAATAATTTTGTGTGCATATTGTAAAAAGGATTAATTTGTTTTGTCTTTTTTGTTTTATTTTTGGATTTACTTGAATGAAAAAAGACTTTAAGAGGGAGAAGTGCCTTTAGATTTCTATTCTTTTAAAGACATGGTCTTCATTGTATGAAATATAAGTTTTCTAAGGAGATTAGATTGTCTTATAGAAGAAATTAAAATCATACAGCAATTTAACTTGCCCAGCTATATTGGACAAAATGATTGTGAATTTTGGCTAAATGTTCTATAATTGTGGTCATTCTTATTAATAAAAATATTTAATTTTAAAAATTATTAGAGTGCATTTTTTGAAATATAAATATATAAATATATATATATATATATACATACATACATTACAAGTTGAAAAATATTTTTATGTCTATAAAATATATATATATATATATATTTAGAACTTGAATTTTCACCAAGCCATCATTATCAGAAGACTACCACCAAAATCTGAAGTATTCTCTTGTTAAAGATTTGAACATGTTTAAATTCATGATAAAGTATGTAAATATTATAATACAATCATTATCAACACAAAATTTATAGTAAAGAAATTAAGGTTTTTATATTTCATGAGAAAAGTATGGCTTGATAATATAAAACATATTATACAGAAAAGATTCAGGTTTCCTTGTAGTAAGAGTCTAAAATTGCTTCCAAAAATGAATAGCAGAAAAAATAAACAAATTTAATTTATTTTTTAAAATTAGGGTTTTAAAATTATGAAATAACAAGATTGATTTTTATAAAGGATTGATTATTCAAATTTGATGTTTTTGTATCATAATTAAAAAAAAGATAATATAAAATATAGCTTATTTTTAAAAAAAAAATTGATATATATATATATATATATATATATATATATATATATTTCACACACACGTACACACACATGTGTTATATATTTTATCTCTAATCAGAATTTCACTCAAAAAAATTCATTTGAATAATCACTTAAATATATAAAATTTACTCATCACTTTGACTAAATATATAGTAAACTTATTTACATATATTTCATAACTTTTGATATTAAATTTAAGAAAATAAACGCCTTATTTCAGGGAATTTGGCCGATTTTTTTAATTTTTTAAAATATCCTATTTGGTGATTTCAATTTTTAGAAACTTGATCAAACTTTGACATCTTATTTATTTCTAGTAGATTAAACATGCATTTCATATTTGATCCTTGCGTTGTATACTTTTTATATCATAGTTTGATCTCTAATTGTTCAATTTTTGTGGAAGAAATATGATTAATTCATAGGCTTTTGATATTTTTGCAGTCGAGAAAGAATGAAAAAGAAAGAGAAACATTGGTATAAATAAATGGTTTTTATCACACGAAAAAAATAATGAAGTTTAATTGGATTTGAAATTTAACCTCTGGTTAAATTTTTAATCCAATTTTGTTGATCAGTTAACATGAAACCATATGTCGAATTTGAATATACAACCTGCAAATTTTATAAGTTTTTTTTTAATGGTAACATGTTAGTTATTATTGTTTATTACTTTTGGAATGAAATAGGATTTCATAATAATTGAGGTAAAAATGCATTTGCAACAAATGCACTGAGATAATTATGAATTATTACACAAATTATTTTTGACAAAATTTGGAAAAGAAGCCAAATTTCAGGCAAGTAAAATATATAAAAAATAATATTAAATAATATAAATAGATGAAATTTAATTCAAAATAGTACTAATCAAACTTATTATAATTGTGAGTATGAATTTTAAATACCCATGTTGTGCATACTTTCAAAAGTATGTATTGTCCAACTCAATTCTTGGTTAAAATCTTTCAATCTTTTGGAAACCTATTTTAAATGCCGAAAATGACTTTCACCCACAAAAAATAAGAACATATTTATTAATAGTTTCTACTTTAAGAATACTATTTAATCATGTTTTTATTTGTATGAGTAAATGTTAGTTCAATAATTTACCTACATAATTTTATTAATTAAAAAAATCATCAGAATCTTACATAAAGTTTTTTCAAGCTATCATTTCAATTCTTTGTGATTCTTATTACAAATCTCCACACCTTCTTTTAAACTTGTGAATTAGCAGTCTTTTAAAACACTAATCAAACTTCTCTGCAACAATCAGAATCATTTTCAATGTGTGAAATCAATACTTGCTCTTTAAATACCAAATTATATGTAAACAAAAAATCAAATTGCAGTAAATGTTGCATATACAAATGAAAATGATGTCAAAGATAAATGACATTAAAACAAAAAATTAAAGGTCTACTTGTGATACAATGAAGTTTTCATTATAGCATTTGAATTCAAGGTGTGCAAATTCATTTTAATTCCAAAACCGTCAATTAAAAGACATTTTATTTATTTATTTTTATTTCTTCATTTGATTTTGCAAAATGTTTTAACCTTTTGGATTTTTTTTGGACACTTTTCTTACAATGATCTTTCCCACGAGAAATAGAATCCATAGAAGCATCTTCATAGATTGATGATGTTGTATCTTCTCCAATTGCATGTATTTCAATTTTATTCTCGTTTATATTTGGTGAATTTGTGGTTGTTTTTCTAATGATTTTTTTGCTTTTTTTAGAATAACCTACACATTTATCATCATGATTCATTTCCATCATTTTTGGGTTACAACATATTGGAGGAGTCCGCACATTTAAAAGGGTTTCATCTTTGAAGACGTTTTCTTCCTTATTTTGTGCTTCTTGAGCAATTTTTTCAAAGTTTTTAGTTAAAACCTATTTGCAAATACAACAATGGAAATGTAATTTGGTTTGCAGTTGATTATAAAAACTTACAATACACATTTTAACAAAAAAATTCTCACAAGATATCTATAGTATAATTGTATCCAAATATGCACAAAAACTCTATATTATAAAATTAAGTAACTTTCAGATTATAATAAAAAATAAATAAATTTGAAGAAATTATGTAAAAATAACTTGTGATTATTTCATTATTTATTTTTGAACACTTTGTCTTTTTGGTTTTGGTTGAATGGTGTACATTAAGCATATTCATTGATTTTATTTATTTATTTACATATCATAACACATAAGTAAACAAATAATTGGAATGGAAGCAAACCTCGCGGACCACCGGCTTCACATTTTTGAGATATTTTTCTATGGGAGATCCCATGTGCTTATAAACTTCTGTGGTTACTTTGACGGCTGTGTTCCGGACATCTCCATTGGCATTTTTGAAAGCTTGATGAATAAATGACATCAAAGGCTCCGTTTGCAATCCAAGCTTGTTTGGAGGATGCAACCCAAATATTGGAATTGCCATCAAAATTAATTGCAAACGTCCAAGAATTGGCCTCCATATTGTCTACATTTATTCATTTTTTTAAAAAAGATCAATATATATATATATATATATATATTTATATATATTATTTAATATGATTTTTAAAGGATTACTTTTTAATTTTTGTTTTGATCCAAGTTAAACAAAACTAAAAAAAAGAAAAAAAGAAAAAAGACCTGATTTTTGGGGGGTTTAAGAAGGGAGATGGCAATGAAAGGGAGTCCAATTTCTTTTTTGGTGGCCAAGAACATTAATGCTTCCGTGGCCGCATCTTTGGTGCGAGGGTTGGAATCACCCAATTTTTCTAGAAGAAGGTTTGTAAAATCATTTGCACAATTTTTAAGGTCCGATCCTGGAATTCCACTCGCATACCTTAAAATAAATACCCTTGCCATCTACAACCTCTCCAAAAAAGTAAAGGTTAATTTTTCAATCAATTGGATTATAATATTAAAAATGCAATAAAGGTATACATTCTTTTTTGTTATGTTTTGAGTCAATAGTGTTCAATATATGTTGTAGGAAATTTTGTTCTATTCTATTAATGAATAAAATGTAGTCACACAAACCTGTAATGCAATGTTGAAAATATTTGATACTTTGTCATTTAAGCCTTTCAATATGACTTTGCTCAAAACCCTATCCAATATACGTATATTAAATTTTTTACTTAATATTTATTTCAAAGAACACTTGTACATTTTTTGCTAAGTGATTTATTAAAACTATTCAACATTTATCAATAGATTGGTCATTAAAATTGTAAGATTAATTATTTTATATTATTATAAATAATATTTTAAAAAATAAATTAAGTAATGATATTTATAATAAAAATACCAAAAATAAATTATAAATTCAACCAAATATAATAATTTTAGTTGATTTTTACCTAAAAACATCAAGTGAATCTCCATTAATTTGTTCATTCTTAATTTTTTGAATCATGTATTGAAAAGCTTTGTCGCGTAATTTCCACTCTTTACTATAAAAGCATTGAACATAATACATGTCAATCATTTTTAAAAGAGGTGCGGATTCCGACAATTGGGACTCATTTAAAGGCTCGGGAACTAGATCATCCAATGCTTGCTTGGCCGCTTGTGCAATCCTTTCTCCAATGGTCATATGAGGTTTCTTTGGAGACAAAACTTGGTCTCCTTGATTTTGTTTCCGCGTAGTATATTTTTTTGTTTGAAGATTTATTGATGTATCATTTTTTTCTTGTTTGTTCTCATCTTTTTGAAATTTGATCAATTTCTTTTTCGCTTCAAATAGGACTTCATCTTCTTGATCTTTTAACAATTGTTGATATGTGTTTTGGTTTTTGATTTGTAAAGTTTTTTTTTGTTGAGAGCCATTTTTGCTATTTTGCTCATCATCATAAGCATCAAGCTTAACTTTTTTTTGATGATTTTTTTCCATCTTGGAAAGTACAACACTCTTCTTTTGATCGGTTGGTTCTTCTAAAGTTGATGTAATTAAATCATTCAATCCACCCAAATCACCAATCATATTCAATTTTTCATCATCATTCGATTGTAGGGATTGGGTTTCATCATTTAAATCGCCACCCACTTGAGGCATTTGTTCAACGGATTGAAAACTATCTATCTGATTCGGGTCACTCGTTTGTATTCGAAACATTCTTTCGTTATTTTGAGACATTTCTTCTGGTTCATTATCTTGGCTTTCCATCACATAATCATCAACTTCAAAGGTCTTTTCCTGATCACAGTTTTTCCTTTGCATGCTTGAAATGTGCTCCTCATTTTTAACACATTTGATCTCATTTCGGAAATTACTGTAAATTTTGGATACTTGGTTATCATTTTGGAAATCTTGCACTTGATCGTAAACACTGATTTGTCTTCTCAGCATATCTTTACTGTTCAGAGGAATGGGTAGTTGACGATTCCCATTAACAAATGCAGTAGGCATTTGTTCATCGATTTCCTCACAATTTCCATGATAAAAGTGATTATTTTTACTGCTGTATATTTGTCCACCTTCGCATTCATTGTTCATTTCTCCACCATGATTTAGTTTCTTCACTATCTGTTGATCACTATTGTCCACGTGATTCTGTTTTTTCCCATTGGCAACAATTTTTTTCGCTTCATTGAATTCTCGCACCAAAGCTCCAAACCGAGTGTTCAAAACTTGTTGATTTTTTTGCTGAAGCTTCGACATTTGCTCCGCCATGTTTCTAGAATCGTTGTATTCCTTGACCAGTGCTCCGAAACACACGTTCAGATTTTGCTGACCATAACTTTGAACTCTTGAATGATCTTCAAGGCTTCCAATGACCCTGCCTTGTATCTCAGACGATTGCTGGTTGTCTACATAAGCATTGGGAATCTCACATAGATTCGGAGCCTTGTGTTCACCATTCTCATCTTTAACCGGATTAATTGCTTGTTTACACAATGAAGCTTGCATCATGGGTGTCAACATGTTTTTGAAGGTCGACGTTGAAAACGGAGATGCAGGGTTTTGATACAACGGAGCACTCCCTAACGATGTATTGTTTGCTGGCTCTCCATTGTGATTATAAAAAGTGGACAGGGCTTTCAAAAAAGCTCGAGGATGTTTACCTGAAGGTGGTAGTGGTGGTTGAGCTAGTAGTGGTTGCTTACTAGGGTAGTTGTTCAAGGCCATGGAAATCACCGTTGATGGGTTGTTGAGTTGTGTAAAGCTAGGGTGGGCTCCCTTGGAGTGGCACATCGGAACTGCTAGGACGGGAAGCAAAGCAGATGATCCATGCTTGTAAGAAACGGTTGGAAGAACATGCACGTAGGTATCATCTCTGGTTGCGTCGGAGAGCATGTTCGAACTAGTGATTGCAGGAAGAAGTGATTCTGCACAAACACACACACACACACACTCACACACTCACGGCAACGACGACGATGATTCAATCCATGATTTCCAAGTTGAGAACGAGGAATTGTGCAGTAAGGGCTCATAGATTTAAATTACACCATGGCAACTTGGGAAATTGGATGTATTAACACTAACAAGGAAACGAGTGTGGCATATAGATGATAGAAAAATTCCAGATGGATGCCAACAAAGCTGGCTTTTGCAGTGGGGGCTGACCATGCTTCCCATTCATTTGTGAGAGCATTTCTGGAGGAGATTTGGGAGCAATTTTAGGTCGCCACCATGGGAACACGACTGAGAGTAGTCCAGGCTTCTTCTCATTTTTCTTACCATGGGCTCCAGGACCTACTCACAACCAAGACTCGATGGTCAAATGATGTATTCATTTTACATTCAGGTGACCCTTGGAACTGAGTTGGGCTCGCTAACTGGGTTTGGAAAGCTAACGAGAGCAACCAAGAAGAGCCAAGGCTAATGGGAAAATTAACTGGAGTTGCCAAGACATTGTTCGGTGTATGGAAAAAAGCTTACAGCACATAGATGTCATCATCTTGGGGGAGGGGGGGGGGGGGGGATCTTAAAAAAGAAAACGCTTTGCATGCAAGGTTCTCCATGTTTGATTCAAAGAAGGATGGTGGCCTGTTTCTTTCAAGCTCCTGAGGTTTGCCTTACGAGTCAAAGATCGGTGCGGAATCCTCTGTGCTCGGCCACATCAGGCTGACTGTTTCTGAATTTATAGGTTTCGGCAAATTTTTAATCACTAAGATCTTAGACATGTCTTCGTATTTCATCCATGACAGTTATACAGGTTCAGCGAATAGATATAACTCACGGTAATTAGGAGGAGGTCTGAGGTCGGGAGTCCTGCAGGAGATCTCTTTATCTAATTTCTTCACCACCGTATTTTGGGCTGGGTGCAGTGTTTGAGTTCCAAATTCTTTCTTATCAGAATCGCCGCAAGAGGTCCCAGCAGAGTCCTTCACACATTTACACCGACGACCCAACATGAAAAATTATTAGATATTCAGGTCGGATTTTGAAATGGCAAGTTAAACCTGCTGATTCTCTAACCTCGTAGCCCTGGCTAGATTACAAAACGTCATTTACAGAGATTACCTCGTTCGGATGCAGAAAGAAAAAGATAAAAATAAAAATAAAAGTGGCCCAGAATACCTCATGCCCAGCCTCTTCTGACGAGCAGCCCTCAGCTGCATGTACCTCATCCACGCTCTCTTCTGAGCTTATACCGCTGTTAAGAGAACACAACCCTGATTATTGAGCGAAGCCTAACTCGCATTAGTTTTTTCTTTCAGTCCCTTCAAGATTCATGTTTAAGCGTTTGACAAGTCACTAAATATGTTGCAATCCACTGCGGTAGGCTGTATTGAAAATTACTACAAGAGCGGTTCAAGAACAGAAGGAATCTAAGAATAAGAACATAATGCCAAAAGACATTATATAATTGGAGTTTTTAAGTTAAAAGTCAGTTTACCAGTCAGAAACTACATCAACCTTCTGAGCAAGTTGACGGTCAGGTAAAAGCTCTTGTACATGGAGTTTCTCTATCTCTTCCTGTCATTGTTGAATACGCGATCAAGGCAAGAAACAGGGAGTAAGGTTGCTCCAGATCTGTCCTGATATATCTGTCTTATTCACGCAATTCCTTATCTCTTCAGTACTAATTTAAGGAAGCAAGAGTTTGAGGTTTACGAGACAGACAACCTTGCAGGTTTTTGCAGTGTCGTAGTCTTCATCCTCAACAGCCAGTTGCTTTTTATTTTCCAACTGTTTGATCTCCTCACCAATGATTTTGAGCCTATCAATTAGACCCTGCAGATTTCAAATATATGACATCTGTGTCCTTAAAAGATTATGTCAAAAATATTGTTCCTTTTATAGCAATGCGCTGCTTGAAGATATCTTTTGACGATTGAGTTAAGACCTATTTCCCAGCACGATTACGGTAGCTGGAGTGCAGCGGCGTTACCTTTAGCCGCTTAGCCTCATCATAGTCCTCACTCAGCACCGCACTGTTCTTCTCCTCTTGCAACTGCGAAAATACCAGTTGCCCCCAACGCATATGTGAATTTCAAGCAAAGAGCAAACTGTGTAAGCAAAAGGAGAATCCTGTATCAGCTCCGGACGTTGTCTTTTCTGAGGAAAGCGACTGTGGTGACTATAGAACATAAATATGAGGAACATACTTGAAGGATGCGGCTTGCAGTGGAAGAATCAGTGTCACCCCTTCTTTCAGGGCTCCTGCGACGTTGCATCATCATCTCTGGTACTTTCGAATTCCAAACCCCCCGTCTCCTGGACCCACGATGCTGCTCCACAATCACTGACCATCATATAAACTACCGAGTTCACATCATCATCATGTCGACTGTCTAGAGAGCTTAGCTAATTTCCTTCCAACTTGCATTAAAGTTAATGAATCGGAAATGTGCTATTGAAGGAAAAGCTGTGATTGCTACCTGGGAGTTTGGAGAAGGTCTTCAAATCCAGGTTGAGTTAGTAGTGTCCATTGTTGCTCATCTAGAGGTTCGCCTGTTAGTATCAGCGCCATTAAACCCACCTGCCAATCAGTTTCCCATCAAGGTGGAGCTCGTAAAATGCAGGCATAGATATGTTTACATGTCAACTTTATTGACCTGATATCAGAAAAGGATACAATCAACGTAGAGTAATTTATCTGACATCTTCCGTTGCACAATCTGGGTGTCCTTCACAATCTAATAACAATGCCAGACCTGATTATAGACGTTGAAATTGTTGACGTGGCAATTGTGAAACACCAACCGCACAACTGTGGCTGGAGAATCGATGTACACACCCTTGAGTTCCCTTGCCTGGTGTCCGCTTCGTTCGTTACAATCCAACGCCAAGTATCTGCATATTTCATTTGAAATAAGATGTGAAAGCTGGACAGTACCTATCACACAATGCGTCACTGCTTGTTAAAGAAACACAATGCGAGAAAGAAAGAAAAAAGAAACAGAAGCAGAAAGTCTTGGGGCCGAGTTGTAAATTTCCTTCCAAGGTTCTCATTCAACGGCAATTTCACTGCGAATTTTCTATCGAGAAATCCTATCCCTGAGACAAAAGCCACTGTCGCATTTCATAAAGTGGAGCTTCCATTGTTTAATGCTATCACCTGCAGCCATGGACATACTTTGAATCGCTTCTTGAAGAGAATACTACGTAATAGAGGAATGTGAAGATTACCCGAGTCGCTTCATCTGGCCAACAGCCTCATACACGTACGGCACAATTAAACCCACAAACACCTCAACCTTGGTGGGAATCTGTCAAAATTGGATTATGGCTGTTTAAAGTTTATGATAGCGATCTCTATGCAGGACAAGCAAGAGATTAAAGCACATACTTGCGTACATTTTTCATATCAAAGAGCATGAGTTTGGAAAAGACGAGAAGACCTTGAACTCATGAGAAAGTAGTTGCATGTTGATGATACGAGATGGCCATTGGAGCTCCAGCACAATCTCTTGAGGGTAGTGACAAAATCTGGCAGTAGGATGGAAGACGTTGAGATCAACGGTAACTAACCAAGAGTTCTTTTTCATAGTAGGGAGGAAATTTCAGATAATGCTTGTCGAGGTCACTAAGTGAGCCTATGGTTAAGCCATGGAGTTTGAGACGATGGTTAAGCTACATGCCTGGTGCTTTGCCATCCTCGACTCAATACACCATTGTTTAGTTCAGCGGCTGGGTAATCCATATCCTGCACGTAAAGCCTAATTTTGTAAAACCTGATGTGGAATTCCTTCAATCAATGGGAGGCAATCATCCTTGTCTTGTAGATATCTGTATCGATTCTGTAATAAATTAACTTCAAACTCACACACTCACACACTCACAATAAAAAAGAGAAAACAAAAAGAATGTAAACGTGTGTGAAGATCAACATAGTGCAAGTTGAAAAAAATCTGAGGTTTACCTGACCGGAGCAATACACGATACTGAAGGGCAGTTGTTTGGCTGCATGGAAGTCATAACTTGTCTCTGATCCTCTAGCATCTACCACCGCAGATGATCGAAGTTCAACATCCGGTACATCTTCATTCGATACATGATGGTCCATAGTGTACCTTTAACATCGAGTTGTTAGACGCTGCAGTTGCAATACTCTTCTAATATCCCATGAAAGCGTATTCTACCGAACATTGGCTTGTGCTGGCTGATCAGCTCTCCTCCATAGCAGAAAATTTCACCATTCCCATTTATCCATCTTTTACACACACTTCTGTCTCGCACCACTCGCTGGTCACCCATAAAACCATGAAGGTAGCTGAAAGTTTTGACAAGTTGTTTGAGATCCCCAACTGAGTAATGTTTCAATAACGACCATGTGTCCCGATTTCTATTTCGTCAACTCCTCCACAACGTAATGTCACGCAACAGTAACCAGAAAATGCAGGCCATTCATATTAAGCTTCACGATGAATCCCACTGCTTCAGGTCGGGATGATTCCTACGAGGATCGTTGCAACATTTTGATAGAATAATCGTGGAATGCAAATCCTCCAAAGTTGATGTATGATTGGTATCAAACAAAGCTCATTAACTCTGCAGCGGGTTCCGATTACACGCCTCGAGGATCCATCACTTCAAATTAAGATGGCAAACAGGCGATGAACTCGCGAATCATGCGAGCTATTTCAAAACGTTTTGCGACGATTCGTTCAAAGCGCATTCCTCATAGAAACATGATGCGCACGACCCAAAAGCAGAGAGTTTTCTTAGGATCCAATCTCCACACTAACAACTTGTCCGATGAGACCACATGACTCTCAAACCTTACTGTAGCTACTCCAAATGACTCTAACAGCTCGTTCTTCTTTTCCCACAATGTGCATCATCTTCGTTGACGATAGCATGCTCCGACACGCACCGTCGCCAGCTACTCCGCACCCATTCATCAAACTAAACAGAGAGGCTTCAAACAGAGTGACGACTCGCACTTGTGCACCTCAAAGTTGCAACGACTCAATACAGCATCTGCTATACTCAATGTCCTGCAATCGAATTAATACAAAAGTAAGAAAAATAAGAAAAAAAATAAGAAAAAAGGAATTGTGTGACTACCCCCACATCAAACAAACAACCATGGCGCCGCCGCCCCAAGCAACGAGAGACAAGCTGTAGACCAAAAATCAAACCCATACAGTTCGAAAAGTGCAAAAGCTTTCTGTGGGTGAGGAAGGAAGACGGAGATCAAACCGTTGCTGAACAGGCAAAAATTGCATTCCCTTCTTCGTCTGCTTCTTATTCCTCTGCCCTCTTCCTTTCCGTTTTCCTGCCTGCTCCCTCGCTCCCCATTCGTCCTTTCCGGCAGCAGAGCACAGCAAAACTTGCCAGCCCCACCACAACTTCTCGTCAAAGCTCGCGTCTTGCCACTGCTCTCCGCTTGTTTTGGTCGCATTTGGAGACTTTTGCAATGAAATCAACAACCTCCTCCTTCTCCGGGATTTGCATTAGGGTTATGGTACTATGTGTTGGTGTTTGCTTATGATAGAGGAATTTGTTAACATCCCCACAGTTAGTTAGAAAAGATTTTATAATATGATATGTTTTTCACATCAATTGTATTGTAAATCTGATCAACACTCACGTACATTTCTATTCTATTTCACATAATTTCACATGTTTGTTTAATGTTAGTACTGATTTCTTATTTCTATTCTTAATTTTGTTGAACATTCTTTTGTTGTGAGATTATTAAAATTTATGATGGATAGAACATTTGATATAGAACTATTGAACTTATGATTTACAAGCATATATTTAGGCAAGAAGTACTTTTGACAAAACATAGATTAAGTTGGTATATCAATTTTGTATTTTATCCATTGAAATCAAGCCATGTTGTCAATTTGGTTGGATTTTGTGGCTTTAAGTGGTTTGAGCTATCAACTTCAATAGACCAAATTAGATTATCCAAATCCTAATGGAAAAAGCTTACATGTTCTATACTTAGTTGGCATGCCTTTAGAACTAAGTAAATTATCAAAATTGGAGATTTTTAGTTTTTTAAAATTATAAAAAGATGATAATTGTAAGTAATATATTCTATATATTGACATCAATTACTTAAATATTAGCAATTCAAAGCAATCAAAGGTGATTCTTAGAAGCTTCATTAATTTAAAATATAAGGTGATCCTTATATCACATGCCTTTTTATTTGGCCTTCTAAAATATAGAATATGCCACATGTACTACACTTAAATTAATTGTAGCATATCACCCAATTTATTTGTAGATCTCATATTTGTGTGTGCCAAATTAGATACTTATAAGAATTATGGGAGAAAGAAGGAGGAAGAATAGGAGAAATACAATGCCCCCTTGTGGTGGTTTTGCTCAACAATCAACAAGCATGGTCAAGAAATAATATTCATTTTGTAGATTTTTGAAGCAAAGCTCCTTAAAAACAAATAAATAAATAGATAAACTTTGTCCAAACCATGTGCTTTAATAATCTTGATATTTTTTTATTTTATTTTATTTGGAATCCTTATTTTGATTTCTAAGATTCTTCTCAAATTAAGGCCAAATAAGTATATTATTTTCTTTAGAAGATCTTAAAAAAAAATTGCTTAGAGATTGGCAATTATTACTTTTTTTTTCTATATTGGCATAGAAAAATTGGACTCAATACTTATAGTGTTGTCAAAGACAAACACCAATCTATTAGAATACTAGCAAAGATGAGAAAACCAACCCTTAAAACAACTCCAATCATTGAATGTTGTTGTATAGTTGTGTACATTGATGGTGTGCATCAATGCATGTCTTTTTTATTTGTATACAACAACATGTGGTGGTCGTCCTCTACTTGCTCAATGTTGCTTGGTGCCTAAAAACATGCAAGATGTATACAATATAGATTATGCACATGATTAATGAATTGGCGTATTTGAAGTGCCAGAAGTTATTTTGGCATTATAAGTGAGGTTTCGTTAGAGGCTTTGTTATTACTATTTTATTCATTGCAAACTTATAATATTCCATAAAATATATAGATTACAAATTTGGTGATATTAAACACCACCATGGATTGATTAAGAGTTGACAAGACAATAAAGAGATTAGAAGTCCACTAACTTTGATTATAGATGTGCTTAGTAATTGAATCATACTTGAACTTAAATGCATCTTCATTAAGAAATTCAATTGGTTCCAAATTAGTATATAAGTGATCCTTCATTTTATAAAGAATTCCAATCATAAATAGGTTATTAGATTTAGAATTTTTTAGCTCTTTACTTTGTTGCAACAATACCATGTCCTATGATTAAAGGATTTTAATTGTGATATTGGAAATAATAGAGAGTAGAACAATAACTATAGTTATAATCTACTAAAGAGCCAAAGGAGCCCTTGTTGGTGCTTTTTGTGCAATAGAGTTAAGTAATAGGTGACAATGCTTCAGCATCCATCTAATTATAGAACCAAATTTTGGCCAATGCATTGTGTTTTTGGAGTATTTTGTACTTATTACAATAATCAATTTCTATTAAGATTGCAAATGAATAAAACAAAATATGTGTCATACAATAGAACGTACCATCCAAAAATTCATTTGTAACTAACTTAATAATTAAATCTACTTAATGTGAAACACATCAAATATATAAAATAAAATTTTTTGGATCATTTTCAAGGAATACAAAAAAACCAAATAAGCTTTTGGTATATTTGAATGATGCTATTTTATATTTAGAAGGAGCAGGTTGCAATGATTCTAATAATAATAATTTTAGTAAAATAAAGAGTGCATATTTTTTAAGACTTCAATAGTTAAGTTATATTAATAGTTATTTTATATCAAAAAATAGCTTAAGTAGATTAAAGACATTTTTTATATAAGTTAATATAAGATTTAATCTACCTAAAATATTTTATTTTGAATATATCTCATAAAGATATTGATCAAAAAGTTATTTGTTAAGAATCTATTATTCAAGAAGAAGTAATAGATAAGATATACCTCATGCAAAAATGACTAAGGTGTTTAAAAGAAGTTTAAGAATTTGAATTTTTTTATAATTGAAGAATTATACTTTTATAGAATTATTACTCAAATTATTAATTAGAATTAATAAATTCTTAAAAATTAATTTAGAAAATTATTCTAAATTAAAATAATTACTAAATAAAATTAAAAAAATAATTTAAAATATTGATGTAATATTAGAAAATTACCAAAATCTATAAAAAGTCTTATCTTCTTATAAGATTTTAATATAAATGGATTTATATAACTAACTTCAATATCCAATCAATTGGATAACTTTATATTTTTAAATACCTTAAATATGTTGAAATGCTTTAGCTTAAGATCATTACAAAATAAATTAAGCAAGCTCACATCTTTGACTATTGTTAAAATATTGCAGTGATTTAGATTAACAACATTTTTAAATGAATCAAACTACTTCACATCTTTAACTATTTTTAATATGTCATGGTGATTTAAATTGATATCACTATTAACTAAATTGAGCAAACTCACATCTTTTATTTTCTTTGATATTAGTAATTCTTTGGAATAGACATCATTGCCAAAAGAATTGAGCAACCTCACATTGTTAGTAATCATATGTTTGTGGTGCTCAAGCTTGATAGTAATGCTTAAAAAATTTAGAAACTTGATATCTTTGATTATTTTAAATATGAAAGGATGTTTAAACTTGATATTTTGGCCAAATGAATTATTCAACTTCAGATCTTTGACTACCTTTAATGTGAGGAGGTACTTAAGGTTAAAATCATTGCCTAATAAATTGGACAACTTTACGAATTTGACTTCCTTTCATAATAGTAATTACTAAAGCTTTATATTATAGCTAAGTAAATTAGGCAATATTATATTATTGATTATCTTTGATATGAATGACTACTTAAATTTGACATTATTGTCAAATGAAATGGTTTAGAATTTACAAATTACATACAAATCAATTTGGTTAATTTAATCTAATAGATTGTAGTAAAGAGAGGATATGTTATGATTCTAAATTAAGGTTGAAATTGAATTATAATAATTATCATCTTTAAAAAATATTTTTTAAGATTTTTTATTAAATAGATATAGAATATACAACATATGTAGCACTAAAGAGAGATTTTGAAAGAATGGTTAGTTTTTAGAGGAGTGAATAATAAGAAGCGATTGTACTAATTAATACAAAAAAATAAGAGAAGAATTTTCCTAAGCAATTCAAAAATAATAGACATAATATTTTTTTAAATATCTATTTTTAAGTGCATTGAATTTTCATCATAGAAGATAGAATCGTATATATAAATAAATTATGATAAATAAATAAATATATATATGTATGCATATAAATTATGATAAATAAATAAATATATATATATATATATATATATATGCATATAAATTATGATAAATATATATATATATATATATATATAAATTATGATATATATATATATATATATATTTATATATTTAAGATTAACTAAAATAAATTATAATATATATTTTTTTGGTTTGTTATAATAAATGAATCACAATAGATAGTAATACACTTACAAATAAGATATGAATGTGCATAAGTAAGAAAATATGTGGAGTAAGATAACTTTCGTCTTTCATACTTATTTATTAATAAAAATGAATTATAATTTAATTTATTTTTTAATTATTCTTTCAATATTTTATATTAATAAAAAATATCTTATAATTGCTCTACATTAGATGTAGTTTATTAAAAATTGATTGATTTTGGATGGATCTTCTTATTAATTCAAAATCTCCAATTCTATATACTATAATAAGATTAAATTGTACATAAATATAGTTGGATTTTGGAACATAGAAATGTGTTTTAAATATTTATAATTATTTATTTTTAAGTACTATTTTTTTTTAATAAATTGACAATTTATTTTAGTTAATCTTAAATCCAATTTATATTAACATGCTCAAACCAAGTTAATAAAGAAACATTAAGCTAATTAGGATTTTTGATTTTAAAACTTAAAGATATAATTTATTTGATTTGAAAAATCAATAAAAATAATAAATTATTTTGTAAGTTGCAATATATATTTTTTATTTAAAATTTTATTTGTTGATAAAAAAGATCCAGAATATATTATTGCTTTCTAAAATAACTTTTAAAAGTCAATACAAATATAAAAATATAAAGTTATTTAATAAACTTAGTTATATTTATATATGCATGTGAAGTAAACATCTAAGATTTTTTGATACCATTATTGATTTTAATTGGATCCACAAACTTTCTACTACATAATTTTTTAATAATGAATAAATTATTTTATGATTTTTTAAAAAATAATTAATATTAAATCATGCTTATTAAAATCTTTCTCAAATAAAAAATTCTTATATAAAATATATTATCAAATCCCAATTTTAGTATTGTTTTTTTCAATAAACTATTTGATGTATATTTTCCTTGTTAAA